GCCGGGGATGCCACCTGCCACAGCAGCTCCTTGTGAGACCAACACAACCCCTGGGGTGCTCAGGGCAGGGGGACCCAGCAGCAGGACGGCCAGGCCAGCACGGGTCCAGCAGGGATGGGGTCGCTGCCACTCTCTTCCTGCATCCCAAAGCATCTCTGCGGGCTCAAGGCTAGCGGGGGTGCCCCCCATCCCCTCTCCCCTCTCTGTGCTCTGCACAGCAATAAAGTGTCCCATGGCCACCTCTTGTCCTTCCTGTGTTTCTTGTCCGGGACCTGAGCTGAGGTCCCCAAAGCCTTGTCCCACTGGGGTCACAGGTGCCCCTGACCCTGCCACGGGGGGCTCAAGGGTCCCCAGGAAGGGGCAGATCAAGGGTACCCACAGGCTGGCCTGGGGACTGCCCTCCCTGTTCACCCCTGCAGGGCTCTCGGTCCCCGTGGGTGGGGGGCCTGGTCCTTGTGAGTGACACGGAGCTGGTGGCAGTCTCAGAGTGCTGCTGCCATTGGCTCTGTTCCAAACAGGAGCTCCTGGCTCCTGCCCAAGGCTGCTGGGAGGCACACAGGGCTGGTGCTCCTGCCTGTGGCAGCTGCCCCAAGGCCAGCGCTGACAGTGGAAGTGGCACAGCTCCTGGGGCCTGCAGGGGTGGGAGGGGGCTGTGGGTGCCTGGGCCCCTTACTCCTTCCTGCATCCTGAGCTGAGCCCTTCTCACAGCACCAGGAGCGATGCCTGGTGAGGGACAGACCATGAAAACTGCCCTGGCATCCCCCTGCCCTTGAGGAAGGGACCACAGCTGGGCTCTGCCTGGGGGGTCCCCACTCTGTTGCAGTGGGTCACTGGGCTCCCTCAGCCCCTCGGTCCCCACTGCCCAGTGGGACACTGATTCCAAACCACTGACAGGGTGGCCTCATGCTGGGATAGCGCTTGGGGGGCTGCTCCTGCCAAGGGATCTCTCTAGCTCCTTCTCCTATGCCAGGAGCAGGTTTGGCTGGTGCAGACAGGGGGCAGGCAGAAGGGCAGGCAGGAGTGGTGCCCAATAACAGAGGTGCCAGCCATGCTTGCAGGGATTTATTTGGAAGTGGCAAAGGCCAGTGGAGTTGCTCAAGCTCTGGGAAGGGATCTCACGCCTGCTTGAGGGCTTGAGGCCACCAGGGGTCTTGCACAGACCAGGGGTCTTGCACAGGGGGCTCACCCCAGGGCTCTCCTGGGGGTGTCCATTTTGTGGGGCTCCAGGGAATGGGGGGCTGCAGTCCCAAGCACGTGGGGGTACTCAATGCTGCTGGGGCAGGGATGGGGCTTCCCTGGCACGTATCTGCAGGGAGGGGTGCATGGTGGGCTGACTCTCAGGCATGGACCCATGTGAGTATGAAAATACCACCTGGTAGGGGCAAATCAAACACTGCTGGCCTGAGAAATGCTTCGAGGGGAGGGGCTAGTAGAGCCACAGGACCACCCAGCAAAAAACCTGCCCTCATGGGATGCTGCTGCTGCTGTGGCTCTGCTGCTGAGAGTGCCCTGGGACAATCGGGGTGCAGACAGAGACCCCCAGCTCATGGGCAGCTCTCTCAGGCTGATGGCACTGGGTGGGCACCAGGTGGGCCAGAGCTGCCCCATCCCCTCGCTGGCCGTGCAGGGCTCTGAGGGGCAGCTCGTGGCCATTGCAGTCATGTCGGGCTCTGAGGGTCCCCCAGTGTCGATGCTGATACTGGTCCAGGGCACCCGCCCGCTTCTCAGAGGAGCCAGAGAGTGTGGACAGGGTGGCCAGGCAGGGGGACAGGGCAGCGAGGTGGGCGATGGCGAGTGGGAGGCGATGTGGGGGGATGCCTGTACTTGGGTGTCCACGTCCACCCCGTCCACCCCGCTCAGCAGCGTCACGTCACCCCCTGCTCCCGCCTCCGGCACAGGTCAGAGGGAAAGCACAACCCCAGGGCCGCTGCCATCCCGCTCCCCGCTCTGCTCGGGCACCGACACATCGGCTCTAGGTGCTGGTCCCACTGCTGCCGGGTCTCTTCTCGGTGAAGAAGCTCTTGAGCAGCATCACCTGTCCGACGCTGACCACGAAGAGGATGAGGGTTTCCCCCACCGACCAGTATGAGACACGGCCATTGAGCTCCTCGGCTCTGCTCCGGTCCTGCGCCTCCCGCAGCCGGTAATGGGTCTGGGAGTCAATCACCGAGTTCAGCATCTCATGGATGGTGACGCAGGCGGATTCCATCTGGGGGACAAGGACAAAGGTGCCCTGTTGCTCCTGACACGGAACGACTGAGGGAGCAGGACACAGTCCCAAGAGCAGGACAGCAGTGCCTGTGGCATCAGTTCCCCGCCGGACCCCACCCAGAGTGGTTCTGCACCAGGGCAGAGCCGAGAGCCCCGCTGGGGCACCAGGGTGCCCAGCCCAGGGGCTCACACCCAGGGATGGAATGGCTGATGCAATTCCCTCTTGCAGGATAGACACTGGATGCTGCAGCTGGGGGAGCCCAGACCCAGCAGAGCACCCCTGTCCGGGCAGAGGATGTGGTGGGGCTGTTGGCTGGCGGTTGGCACTTCTGCATCCGGTGAAGGGGAAGGGGGATGAGCCTCCAACCGCTGTTCTGTGAGGCCCTTTGAGGGCTGCAGCAGGACCTTTCTCTGTCCCTCCCTCCCTCCTGGGACCTACCTGTGTCAGGGCAGTGACGCGGTTGTTCATGTCGGGCAGGATGGGTGGCTCGTCGCCCACCTGGAAGTCGAAGTAGACAATTTTGTGGGAGAAGGTGGAAAACTCATTGCTGAAGCAGAAGGTGTAGACACCCTTGACCTCGGTGCGGTGTGGGAAGCTGTCGTACTGCTTCTTGGTCTCCTGGTAGATGGTCTTGCCGTTGGGGTCCTCCACGTAGCAGTCTACGTCATAGTGTCCCCCACTGATCACCTGCGTGGGGAGACAGAGGTGGCACCTGCCCAGTGACGTGGCAAGGGCCCCCTGCCCCTGCCCGGCCCCACAGCTGTTTGAGAGGCCAGCGGGCACCATGCCCATGGGATGGGGCCAGGCCAGGGGAGCCCTGGGGAAGCTGTGCCCCACAGTGCCAGCAGCTCAGCTAGCGTGGCTGAATACAGGGACAGCCCCCAGGGCCAAGGTCAGGGGCTCCCATGGCTGCTGTGGGCACACCCCAGCCCTGGCTCCCAGGTGGACAGTGCTGGTCACAGGGCTGGGGCTGGGAACAGCTCCTGGTGCAGCACGAGGGGAACTGAGGTACGCATGGGAGGGGGGAACTGCAGCCCTGCATGAGGCTCTGTAGGGCTCGGGGCAGGGGCATGGGCAGGGGCATAGGCAGGGGCAATAGGCACACACATGGGCAGGGGCGTGGGCAGGAGGGCACGGGCAAGGAGGCACAGGCATTGGCATCGACAAGACAAAGGCAGGGGCATTGGGATGGGGCACAAGGGGAGTGCAGGCAGGGATGTGCACGAAGGTGCTGGCAGGGGCATGGGCAGGGGCTGCAGGCAGGGCACATGCAGGGCTGCAAGCAAGTACGGGCAGGTACACGGCAAGGGGGTATCAGCAGGGCACGGTCAGGGCAGTACCTGGTAGTCGAGGGTGAACTTGATGCCGCTCTCCAGCTCCTGGTGGAAGCAGCGCCGGTCGCTGTCGGGCAGCTCCAGCGTCAGTTCCGTCCCGCCGGCCCCCAGAGCGCCCAGGAGCGCGGCCAGGCACAGTGCCCGCACCGCGCCACGCACCGCGCCCGGCATCGCGACACGCACCGCGACACGCACCGCGACACGCACCGGGACCGGGACCGGGACCCGCCCCCCTGACGTGGCGCTTCCGCTGCGGGCGGGGCGGGGCGGGGCGGGGGCGGCACCTCCGGCACTGGGGCGGGCACCCACCGGTACCCCGGGAACCCCCCAGGCACCCCCGGCACCCTGGGAACCACCCGGCGTCTCTGTGCCGGGCACTCCGGGAATCCCGCGGGGATCCCCTCGGCACTCCCCGGACCCCCCGGGCCGGCCGGTGCCGGATCCCCGCACCACGAGTCTGTCCATCCAACGGCGAGCGCTTTATTAACGCAGCGATCGTGAAAAAGTCCCCGCAGGGACACGGCGTCACCCCGGCACCTGCCCCTGCACCACTACACACACGGACTCCTGTAAATAAATGCATTAATGGAATCTGTGGGCAGCCACGGCCCACGGCCGGCCCACGGCGCACGGAGCGTGGGATGAGGCGTGGGGTGAGGAGTGCTCCCTGCGCAGGGCGGGCAGCAGAGCGGGGTCCCGGCTGTGTCGCGGTGCCTGCGACTTTCCCGGTGGATGAACCCCTTAGGTAGGCCCGTGCCATCCTCGGTTACTCGGCATCCCGGTTCCCACGCCGCCGGCAGAGGCTTCCCATGCAGCCAGGCTGGGACCTGAATCCTGCCCGGGGATTCAGCGCTTAGAGCTATTCGGAGTGGCGGTGAATGAACGCCCTGAACCTCAGGCGCTTCAGAGACGAGACAAGCCCATCCTGGTCCAGAATCGCGGTGCCGGGTGAGCTCAGCTGCCGGAGCTCCGAAGCTCTCGGGAATCTCGGAGGTGGAGGATTGTCTCCCTCTCCTGCTCCGAGAGGGCACCGACACGGTCCGTTGCCGGGGGGAGTGTTCCCGCTTCTCCAGCCCCCGCAGCACTGAGCCCCTTCCCCTCCTGGAAGGCCCTTCATGAACGCTCGGCCCCAAGGATCACTGCTGGGGGCTTCGGGGGGGATTCGGTGTCAGAACGGGCGGGATGGATGAAAAGTGGATTGTGACTAGTGAGGAATAAGGGAACTGCAGGCAGGATCGGATCCTTGGCACGGAGCCTGGCGATCTCGGATGGTCTGGGATTGGTCTCCCAGGTGGTCATTCCTGATTCAGCCTCTGGGCTCAGGTCTGACCCCCGCGGCCATCAGTGTGTCCCTGGAGCCGGTGACCACTCCATCTGGGACTGTCCCGTTTCTGCAGGGACAGCGTGGCTTTGGGAAGAAAATGGTGACATAGCTACTGGGCCACGACCTCCTCAAAATCAGAGAGGTGCCGCATCTGCTCCGCCTGCATGGAGTGTCTGCGGAGGAGCTTCCTGCGGGCTCTCAGGTCGCCCCGCCTGGGCGAGCTGGGTGCGAGGGGCACCAGGGGCTTCAGCCCAGCAGCCAGAGGGGAGGGAGCTTTGCTGGAGCCGATGTCAGGGATCGGGGGGTTGGGGTTCACATTCAGCGGGGGCAGATATCCCGGCCTCGTGTGGGAGATGTGGTCGAGCAGGAGGGTCCCGGATCCTCGCCTCTCCAGCAAGGCAGGTGGTCGGCGCCGGACAGTGCTGGGTGATGTGCTCGCACTGCCAGAGGGAGACTCTCGTGAGCCATCCAGCAAGGCCAGGTGGGACCCACTCAGCTTCCTCCTCTCCGATGGCCCCTTCCCCATCTCGGTGAGGTGGGGATCTCCGTTGTGCTCCGTGCCTGGCCTCCACCAGTGCAGAGTGTCCATCCCCGCGGCTGAGCCGGCGGCTGAGCCGGTGCTCTCTGGCTCCTCCGGCACTGTGCTGCTGTGGTGCAGGCGCGGGTGGGCAGCCGGGCTCTTCTCCTGGGTGGCTTTCCATGCCAGCGGCCCCAGTGCCTGCTCGTCCACCATAGGAAAGAGAGCGGGGTCCCTGCCCTTGCTGCTGCTGCTCCGAATGAGGGGGATCTTTTTGGAGAGCGAGAGGTCTCCAATGCCCATGATGACATCCTCACCAGCACAGATGTGCGTGTCATCACGGTGTGCTGAGGCTGCCAGCACTGAGGGTGCCACCAGACCCCACGGCTCCGATCGCAGCCGCTTCAGTCGTGGCAGATGGGCTTTCCGGGCAGTACCGGCTCTCTGGCCTGGGGAGGGTGGCTCAGTGTCCCCAGTGTCTCCAGGGTGTGAAGCGTGTGGGGTGAGAATGCTGCTCTCCTTCTCTTCAGGGGAAGGTGCTGAGATGGAAGTTTTCAGGTGGGCATGAGAGGGTGCTGCACCCACCTCGGGGGGGGCTCTCTCTTTGAACTCCAGCACAGGGGGAACATTCAGGTACTGCTTGGTGGTCTTAGTGCCAGAGGCTGATATGTCCATGGTGATGATGATCACTTCCTTCCCCTTGGCTCTGCAGGCATCCAGGAGGTGCTGCAGCACAGCCTTGTCATCGGCATTGATGGCATGGACCAGTGCCGAGGCTCCTGAGCGGTCCTCCAGGCTGGGGTCTGCCCCGTTCTCCAGCAGCAGGGACACCACCTCCCCCCCAGCCCCACGGATGCAGGCATGCATGAGGGCAGTTTTCCCAGACTTGTCCTGGATGTTGGGGTCAGCTCTGTTGTCCAGCAAGTACTTCACCATCTTGGCCTTGTGGATGCTCTGCTGGTCGACGTGTGTGGTGATGCAGGCCACCATCAGGGCGGTCTCCCCCTTCTCGTTGCTCTCGTTGATGTAAGCCCCCCCTTCCAGCAGCAGCCGGGTCAGCCGGAGCCGGCCGAGCCACACGGCCTTCAGGAGGGAGTTGCTCCCCAGCTCTAGCTCCATCACCTCATCCATGGCACTGGCTGCTGCTTGGTGCTGGGTGATGGCAGCAGTGGCTGCTGGCTGCAGGAGGAACCGTGGAGAGGTGAGCCCTGCTCCTTCATCCCCGCCTTCCCGGGATGCCATGCTCCGGGTACTGCTCTGCACCCCACTGCCCCTCTAGCCACATCCACCCACCTCCTGCAGGCAGCTGCCCAGATGCACTGGTTTCCTGAAGAGATCAGAGAGTTCTTGATGGTCTCCACTGGCCTGCTAGGTCTGGGGGGCCACAGCATGAAGCTCACCCGAGACAGTGGGAGCATCCCACATGGCTTCTTGGGCTGGAGCTGGGGTCTCTGCTTTCCTTCTGCTGGAGGGAAGGAGAAGCAGCTACAGTCATGCTTTCTACTGTATTTCTACTGCACCCGGCTTCTACTGCCCCCACTGCCCCCTGCTCCTGCTGCCCCCGCCCCCTGCTCTCAATGGCCCCCACTCCTGCTGCCCCCGACTCCTCGCTCCTGCTGCTCCCCATTCCCTGCTCCTTCTTCCCTCTGCTCCCTGTCCCAGTCCTCAGGCCGTTCCTGGAGCCCTGGGCAGCCGGTGCCCCCAGAATCCCCCCGGGGTGGGCACAAGCCGTCCAGCCCTTCCCCACGCCCCCGTGCCCTCTGTGGGTGTCCTGCAGCCCCTGGACCTGCGGTCAGTGCTCGCACCGGGGCAGCGCCAGCGGTGCAGCCCCGTCCGAGAGCTCCCCACGGCCCCTTCTCGTGGGGACCCCTCGAGCCCGGGGAGACCCGGGCGTCGGTTCTTCCCCACCCCCGCCAGGCCGGTGCCTCCCGGCGCCCCTCCACCCCGGGGCCATCCCGGTCCCGCTCCCGCCGCCGCCCCCGGCTGGTGGTGATGGTGGGAGCGCCCCCCACCCCCGACCCGCTACCTGCTGCCCGGCGCCGGTGTCGGTGCCGCTGCCCTGTGCCCTGCGCCGGGGCTGCTGCCGGTGTCGACGCCCGGTGTCGGTGTCGCTGCCCTGTGCCCCTGCCGGGGCTGGTGTCGGTGCTCGGTGCCGGTGCCCGGTTGCCGGTGCCGGTGCCCGGTGCCGCTGCCCGGCGCTGCGCGAGGAGGAGGGCGCGGGGGGGCGGCGCGTCCGCCCGGGGGTGGGTGCGGGGAGCGGCGGGGCGGGGGTGTCCGCGTGCCGGGGGGCTGGAGGGGTCTGTGTCCCTGCCTCCGGGTGCGGGGGAGCGTGTTCGGGTGCGGGGGTCCGTGAGCGCGGGGGTGTGCGGGTGTCCGTGTGCGGGAGTGTGAGGGGGGAGTGTCCGCACCCCCCGTGCGGGGGTGTCTGTGTGCGGGGGTGGGATGTGAGTGTACCTGCCCTCGGGGATCTCCAGATGGAGATGGTGGGACCCTGCCGTGGGCAAACCGGTCTGAGCCCACAGCCGGCCCCACTTGGAGCCGGGGGAGATTAGGAGCGCCCTGAGCCCCCTCTGGCGTTAGTAACCCTGTGGTCTGAGAGCACATCTGGGGAACCCCGAGCACACAGCTGGGGCACCTGAGAGCACACCTGGGACACTGGAATGCTCTGTGCCGTGCAGGGGAAGCCGGGGTCCCTGCATCTGCTCCTCGGGCAGAGCTCCCTGTGCCAGTGCGATGTACCAGGACTAGCACCAGCCTGCTGTCCCTCCAGACCTCCTTTGTCTCCAGATCTCGTTGTCTCCAGATCTTCTTTGTCCCCAGATCTCTCATCCGTGCAGGAACCTGCTTCCCAGCAACCTCCTCCACTTTCCTCGGTGGCTCTTTTGGAGCAGTTCCAACAGGAAGAGGGAACTGAGGGGAAGGTGGCTCTGTACTTCCACAGGCCGTTGCAGCTGTGAGGGTGTTTGTCATTGCACCCTCTGGATCACGTTAACATTAGGGGGAATTTCTCTTGCGATTAATAAAATATAATCTAGTATTTCAGTGTTCTTCAGTCAGAGATGAGGATGACAATGAGAATCAGAGCCAGCAGAGATATTAAGTCAGTCTTATCACATTAGGGAGCATTTGGAAAACCTTATGGCAGCTTTGTCCTGACTCTGTTAATGCAGAGTTAATGCAGTACCTGCCTAAACTGGCCATAAAAGCCCCAAAAATGTGTCTGTCTGTCCATTTTCTGTGCATGAGCACACCAAGTTACTTGTAGAAAATAAACACCTTAACTTTTAAAAACACAATAATATAAAGACCTTAATAAAATAAACACCTTAAAAAAACCTCCTGAAACCCACAAGTTTAGAAGACAAGCTGTGGTGGCAGGAAGAGCACAGGCTGCCCGGGATTGGGGTTGCTACTCCAGCACCAGAGGAAGCCACCACAGCCCCTGAGTCAAGGAGGGTCTGCCCCACTCCCAAGGCACCTCAGGGTGGGTCAGGGGTGGTCCAGGAGGGCCAGAAGGAGGGAGGGGGTGGTGGTGGAAGATGGAAAGTTCTGGGGCCTCAGCAATTGCAAGTAGGAGATTGTTGGAAGGAAGTGTTGGGGAGCTGACCCCCCTCCCCCCCCAAACACTCCTTCCTCCTCTGCCCCCCTCACTGCTCCCATGAGTTGTCACCCCTGTGCCAGGCTGGCTGTCCTGGCTGGAGAGCAGGAATGACCTGTCCTTGCAGATGTTCAAACGTGAGAGTTCCTTTTCCTGCTCCACCAGCCTAGACTCACCAGCTTTAAGGTGTCTGTGGGGAGGGAGATGCCCCAGCAGGGAGGGCCGAGCATGGTGACACCAGCTCCGTTATGCCAGTCGTCCCGGGCAGCTGGGACCTCCATGGAGGGGAGCAGGAACAGCCCCTGTCTGCTGCCAGGGAGCCTCAGATCTGCCCCAACCCTGTCCCGGCTTTGCAGAGCCAATGTGTCCACCTATCTTCATCCTCCTTGTCCTCCTTGCCAGTATCCCTGCCATCCCTGAGGATGCCATGGCAACGGGGCCGCAGGGATGGCTGCTGGAGAAGCTGCAGCTCCACGCAGGACTCTGAGCCCTGGGTTTGATCTCAGCAGTGCCTGCACAGCCTCGGGGGCAGTGAGATGGGATCTGCACATGGTCAGTTTGGGACAAGACTGGGATGAGGTGGCTTTGAGGTGCCCAAGTGTCACCCCAGGGTGCTCTGCCTGCACAGAACAGCCCTGGCAGGAGGTGGAGGGCTGGGCAGTGACTGGAGGTGCTGCTGGTGATACCAGTACCCTGTGGCATGGGTGGTACTGGTACCCGGCATCCTCACCTGGGCAGGAGGCTCCTTCCCCCTGGCAGGGCAGAGAGAGGCAGAGGGGACACAACTGTGACACTGATGAGAACATCAGAGATGCCAAGTGCTTCGTGGGGCCACCTCAGCACCATCCCACCTGGATAAGCCAGGCAGTTCCCCTCCCTTCATTAGCCTGCTGAGGTTATGATTAGAGTCCGGTCCAGCTCAAAGGAGGGGGAGCTGCTTTCTGGGACTGTAATGGGGCTCTCTGGTGTGTGGCGTGAATGTCCCCAGGGCATTCAAGGGCGCTGCAGTGATGCCTCGGGGGGCTGAGGCCATGGGAGCAGGGACAGGATGGCAAGGGGCTGTTGGCTCCCTGTGCTCTACAGCTCCAGAGGAGCTGCAGCCCCCAGCTGGGCAGAGCCGGGTCTGTCTCTCAGGGAAGGGGTTTGTCCCAAAGCACTGTGTCCCGGCACCTTTGGACCTCCAGCTCAGGCACAGGTGGGATGCCAGTGCAGCCTTGGCAAGGGCTGAGCCGGCACCGTCTCCCCGGGGACACCCGGCGCTGGCGAGTTCTATTTTGGGCTCTTTGCCGAGGGCTGTGTGAGCTATTCCTGCCAGCTCATCCCCACACGGCCGCCGTTTATAGCCGTGCTCCCCGAGCCCAGCACAGGGGTAGGGGAGCTCAGCATTCCGAGGGGGACCACCGGCTCTGCTGCCAACGCTCCTATTGCCTGGGGCACAGCCCAGGTTCCCCAACCTGTGGGGCACAGTGGGGCACAGCGGGGCTGTCCTGGGCATGGGGGGTCCCAGCCCAGGCCATGCCCCTCCATGGGGTTTCATGGACAAAAGTATCCAACTGTGCCCACAGCACCTCACTTTCCCCTCAGACCCGAGCAGGGCTGGAGCCTGGGGCAGGTTTGCCCCTGCTTTGATTGGGACCCTGATTTCTCCTGCTGGAGTACCGACTTCCCACAGTGTGCTGGAGGTTAATCAGCTAAAATCTGGGATGTCAGTGACATTCCTGCCACTGTCACCTCCTGTGGCCATGCAGTGCTGCTGTTTTTGTCCCCTCTGGTCCCTGGCTTTGGCCAGAGGCTTGAGCTGCAGCAGCACCTTGGCCAGGCTGGTGGAGCAGCAGCTCATCCCAAGCCGGCGCACCGGAAGTGATGGATGGATGGAACAGGCTGTGTGACCCTACATCCCATGGCATCGCCATGGGCACGAGGATCTCGCACTCTGGGACTCTAGGACTGAAGGGTGTGTCCAGAGGGACCTGAAGTGGATGATGCAGAGGGTGATGATGGAGTGGGTGATGCAGCAGATGATGCAGTGGGTAGCACAATGGGTGATGCAGTGGGTGATGCAGCAGGTGGTGCAGTGGGTGGTGATGATGATGCAGTGGGTGATGCAGTGGGTGATGAGGCAGCAGGTGATGCAGTGGGTGATGCAGTGCTTCCGGAAGAGGCTGCATCGCCCGAAAGCAGCTGCATCACCCAAAGCAGCTGCATCATCACAGCGAGCGGCTCTGATGTCTCTATAGCAACCATGGGGTAAAAATAGTGCAGCAGCTTTAGGGAGCCATCAGGGCCCGGCAGGGATTGCTGCTGGGATGGGTGCGTGGGGAGCAGGGGCTCAGAGGGGAGCAGGGCTCCCCGTGCTGCCAGGAGCTGCTGCTCTGTCGGGATGCTCCAGGGCCTTCGGCAGCTGAGCGGAGGAGGGAATGGGGCGTGGGGCTCAGGGTGTGGGGCTCAGGACATAGGGTTCAGGAGGTGAGCACAGCAGTGCAGAGCCTCCAGCTGCTTCTGCACCTCTCCCCTGCCTGTCCTCTCTCTCTGTCCTGGCTCTGGGCTGAGGGTATGGTGATGGGCATTTGCACACCAGGGTTTGTAGGTGCCCTGTGCCCTGATCACGCCTGCATCCTCACTGCCATGGTGGTGAACTTGGATCCAGGGCTGGATCCGTGTCAGATTGGCAGCTCTGCAGCTGCACTGGCTATGACAGACCTCGCAGGTGGCTGTGCCTGCTGTCCCCTCCCTGAGCTGAGGAATTCAGTGCCTATCTCCTTCTAATCCACGTCTGAGGCATGAACAAAGTTACAACCTTTTCTCTAAGTAGGAGGGTTTGGAGCTGGGTGGGATCAGGGTCTCTCCAGCCTCTGCTCCACAGTATGGGGTGTCAGTTTGACTTGGACTCTAATGTGGAAAGGCCTGAAAATAGGAATGTGCTGCTCTGTGAGCCAGAGCTGCTCCCCTTTGAGACACCACAACTAGTGCAGTGTGCTGGGCCTTGGAGAATGGCAGCTTCCATCCCTTGGACCCTGAGCACCAGTCTCCAGGGAGCTGGACTGTGGGACTGGGTAGGATGCAGGTGATGGGCTCTGGGGATGCTGTGGGGCCCAAAATTATCCTCTTTCACAAGGAGCAGGGCTGGGAGCTGTCCTGGTGTGCTGAGGAGTGTGGGGTATCTCACCTCCTCCTGCTCTCACTCTCAGCTTCCCGTACCACTGTGCCCATCACCAGAGCCCTGGGTACCCCACTCCTCTGTCCTTCCCTCTCCCAGTCCTGCAGACACTGTTGTCTTGACAACACATCCGTCTCCCTGCACTTCTCCATGCTTTTCCCTTCGTAATCTCCACATTCTTGCACCTTCAAGGTGGGTTTTTCACCTGGATGTGCTCCAGAGGGGAAGTGGATAACCCCTTGGATCGAAAGACAGGAAATGGCCTTGATGCCAGGCTGGAAACCACCAGATCCTGGCAGGAGGGAATATCTGCAGAATGTCTGTGGGCCACGGTGGAAGATGAGGCTGGTTGTGCTACAGTGGGTGAATCACTGAATCTCAAAATGGTTTGGGTTAAAGCTCATCTTGTTCCATTCCCCTGCCTTGGGCAGGGACACCTTCCACTAGACCATGTTGCTCCAAACTCTG